GATGGTGCTGATGTGACAGTCATTTTCCCTCCTAAGTTTATGAATACAAGACTTTCTGTGTCAAAGCCGGGTTTAGACATCCCTCATGTAAAGTTCAGTGAGTAATTTAAATTTTGAAAATTAAATTTAAAGTGTTTTCAATAATTCTGATCAAGCTACACTTAATTCAGAGTGGTGACTCTTCCTCCTTCATCCAGTACCCTCTGGTTAAAATTGACAAGTTCTAAGTGTGAATATTAAAATACCGTGGAGGAAAATGTAGGGAAAGTTTTATTTCAAATACATTGGAGCTCTTTTTGGAAAAAAAGAGATCAGAGACAAGCATGCAGGGTAACTTAATTTAGAATCCTTTCACATGCTTAGAGGACTGCGTCCCCTCAGAGCATTGACACAGTCACCACTGAACACTTCCCAGAAGTTTCTGGAGTCAAATGACCACAGTGTGTTTTCATGAGTGAAAATTTGAACGGTATAGTGAGAAACTTTAGAGCCACACATTAAAGTCTATTGCAGTGACAAACTTTGAAGTGCAGAGCGCAGAACCAAGGCCATTTGGCACCTTCACAGAATGTGGAGGGGACAGCAGGATCCATCCTGGCTAACAGGCCAATGACCAGTGGCATTGCAAGAAGACACCATGAGCGGTTCAATGAGAATTGACAAACTTTGTGATAACTTATGCATGCTGTCCATTACAGCAACAGTCAGGTGGTGTTTAGGTAGACTTATCTCATTGTAGAACTTCTGCTGGGACTTGACCATGTCTTTCTTTTATATATTTAAGAAGCACACATTTTTTTTTTATCAGTTTCACAGCTTAAAACTCAGGACATTGTAAGTTTCCCAGAAGTCTTTGGTGGAAACAGAGACCACTCCTAAAATCAATCTATGAGATCATCTGCTCTGCTGCTGGGGTTGAGGATTCTTTCCAAGCTCCCATTCCCACCCTGTACTTCCAGACTTCATACAGAAGAGGCTGAGAGATACTGCCATAGATGGCTTTGGAATCTCTGACTTGGTTTTAACTTCGTTAGTTCCATTTAAGACCTCATTCATCTGGCATCTAGATCATTCTTCAGAGTAATCATGAGCCGTTTCTTCCTATTTCCTCAACTTTAGCATATTCTCCTATCCTCCAGTGTGCTGCAGTACAGTGTTTAAATATCTATTTACATCACACCACGCAGAGAAACTTTCTTCAGCCTGTATACTATGCAGGGTCTCTCTGGTCCAGGCACTGAGAGCATCTGAGGTAACCTCTGGTTTTCCATAGAAACACTCATCCTTCCTGTCCATGTTTATTGTCCCTGCCTATCTTTCCCACAAACTATAAGCTCTGTGAGGGGTTGACCCCACCTAGCATCCTTGAATGATATATAGAATGCAGATTTTAGTCAATCTGTGTGTAAAATGTAAGAATTTAACATTGGTTAAGCAGTACCTTGAGTTGTAGTCTGTTGGTACCTATGTAGGAGCTCTTAGCTAAGGGAATGCCATGTGTAGATTTGATGTCTAAAAATAAGGCACTAGAAATGCTGCCTAAGAACCACTACTCGTAGACCAGATGTGGTGGCTCACACTGAAATCTCAGCACCTTTGAAGGAGAAGCAGGACAAATGCTACAGATAAGGCCAGCCTTGTCTTCATAGTGAGTTGCAGGCCAGCCTGGGCTACATAGTGAGTTCCAGATCAGCTACAACTACATAGTGAGACTCTGTCTCTAAAACCCAACATATTCTTTTTTAATATGCAAGTTACTCATAATAAGAGATTAAATATGCAACATATGAAAATTAAACACATATCATAGTTCATTAATAACAAAGGAAATATAGGTGGGGCTTTTAATATTTAGTAAGACTTTTACTATAAATATAAATATGAATATGAATATGCTTAGATATAAAACTATAGAACTATAATTTAGAAAATTCAAAATATGTCTTTATTAGATGACCAAAACTTAATGAACCTGATTTGGATAATTCTCATATTGATAAATCTATAGAAAGAAATCTTTTCAGTAAGATAGATGTACCAAAAGGATCCATGAACTGTATAGAAATGAAGAAGAAATCGTCTACAGGGAAGTAAACAAGAAAGAAAGTACTGCAGGAGAGCTGAGAACATCATTTTCAATTGACATTTTGCTCTCAAATATTTGCTCATCCTTAGGCTCACACCCTCCACCACATAACTAAAGTCTTCTCAAAGATACATGTGTTTCCTGCCCTATGGAAACAGCTTAAAATGGCTTTAGTCAATGGCAAATAGTCAGATTTGCTGATTCTTTGTCAATACCTTAAGTGGCACTATAGTTTCTGTTTGCTTTCTTACTCTTCAGCCATTTGTCATGGGGACATGAGAGACACAAAGAGCAGAACTGAGGCCAGCATGCAGTGAGAAATCAAGCCTGCCATATGTGTAATCAGAAATAAAGCCACCCCTCTGAGTCCAGCCTGTGGCAGTACCTCCCAGCTGATCACACACACGTGCAATAAAGAAACACAGAATGAGACTAAGATTTTATGTTTCTTTGTTATACATCATTATTGTGGCCATAGCTACCCAATACACTCACAGATTAAACTGAGCAATGGGGAAACTCTTCCCTTTTAGATATTTAGATAAACAAACAAACAAACAAACAAAACCCAAAATCACTTTCTTGAGATTGATTCTTTTTCCTTTTTCCACAAAAAAAATCAGCAAATTCACACCTGGTTAGTGGAGAACATGTCCTCTCCAATGAGTTTTTCCTATATTCTCCACTGGGTTCCTTCCATTTTTCTTCACAGTCAGTCTAACAGCTTTATTGACTTTAAAATGGAAAAAAAAAATCCCTCTAATTTATGGAGATTCCAATAATCTCTGTGACCTCATCTGTAAAATATGGAATCAACTTAGATCATTAGTTTAGACTTCTGTTTTGGGGTCTGTTGTGAAACTGTCCTCTGGTCATGATGGGACTGTTTTCTCTAGAACTACCAGCAACTGTGAATATTCCCCTGATACCCACTTAAAACTGGGCCCACTGGTTTTTAGTTATGGAGAGTGGAGGACTCAAGAGACACCCCAAGGATTTATAATCATTGCTAGGGGAAAGGAGCTCATGAAGTGCCCCCTTTCCCAAGTATGTATGTAGTTAACAGTTGCTGGAGGGGACAGGTGTTTTTCTTCAGTGGTGTAACTGCCTGTAAGTAGTCAGGCTTCTGTAAGTAATCTATTACCATGTTCCTGTAAGTAACCCCATTTGGCTCACTAATTCACAAAAAAATATACTTGAACAGGTCGTTTCTTTGTTTCTGTCATCAGCACCTTTTCTGGACAAAAAGACCTTTCTTCATATCTCCTCAGAAAAAGTTCACATAACGGCACCCTTGGTTCGGAGGAGGCACTGAGCATCCTAGCATGTGGAGGGGGCAATGCAGGAAAGCTAACTGACTGGACTCTTCCCCCAGCAACCAGTAACATTTTTCTTTGATCTCTTTACAATGTAGAGACTTCTTGTGAAAAATCAGTTTCACTGTTAAAAAAAATTAGAAACCGAACAAAATATTTTTAAGATCTTCTCAGACTAAAAGTACTACAATTGCCATTTTCATCCTGACCACATTTCAGAGACTATCATATAAGCCCTTGAAATAATGTCTTGACTTGACACTCTAAGTCATAAATTGTGTCACTTTGCTCTCTTAATAATGATTAGGGTAAGTCCCGTTTGGTGGGGGCTCAAGCCTCTGCCTGTGCCCTCAGTGTCCTTTTCAGCCCCATGGTCCTTCCTGATCTTTAAAGCACACTCAGCTCTTTCCTGTGTCAGGTTCACATCTGCTCTTCTAGTCTTCAAAAGCCAACCTCTCATTTTTCTTCAATCTTAGTTTATAAAACAGCCTACCAAATAAGTGTTTCCCAACCCTCCAAACTACCAGAGACCCGTATGACCTTGTCAGTCTCTATGAAAGCCCATTTTGTTTTCTTTTATTTGCAGTTCCAGAAGCATCCACTCAAAATTCATATTATTTGACACACTGATAAGTGTGAAGTTTGTGTGTGGGGTCCAAGTTGTCTCATTTATTTTTGTATTAATAGAATCCAAAGCAAAACCTGGCATGCACCATATGCTCATTAAACGGATGGATGAATAAATGAATGACCTCCTTAGACTTCATCAACATTTTCTTCACCATATTTCTAAATATTATGTAATATTTACAGACAGTATGCATGTGTGACTGCCTCAGCTATCTTCCTAATCTACACAGAACCTTCCTTATATGCTTACACATTCTCTCAATTTGTTCCTATGTATCATTTTTCCTTCTGTTACAAGCTTTTACTTGTCAGTGGTCATTATCCGAGCAGCTTCAGGAAATTAGGGTTTTCTTGAAACTTAGAAATAGAGGATTTTCTGGGAGTGGCATGATACTCCTGGCCACTGCAAAGATGGCTCCCTCTGGAAATGAAAATGGTGGCACTTTTGCTTAAGCAACAGACTTTGGTGATTTTATCTGATATGAGTCAACATTTAAAAATCTAAATTTATTAATGAAAACATTTAAAATTTTGATTTGGAAAGTCAAGATCTATACATTAGATTATAGTCTTCAGAGATGACCACTCCAATATTCCTGTTTTTCTTTTCTATCTTCATATGAACTACACAACATTTCTTGACTATACCATATATACTAGTTTTTATCTATTGATAATTGCATAATGTAATTTTATATGCACATAACTGCATACAGTGGAATAAGTAAAAATGAACATTTTGTCACTGAAATGTTTCAACACTCGTTAGAGAAAAGACATATAGCTTGTAGGCTCGGCATACATTCTTATGAGTAGGGACAGTCATAGCATTCCCCTTTTATAGAAAATAATGCATTTGAATTGCTTTTCAATCAGTTCTTTAGAGAATTTTCAGGTCCTTTACCATAGGGAGCAAAAGTACAATTGATGAATGAAGGTGTTAAGAAAAATAACAAAAAATTTCAAACCTGGTACTGAAATCTTCCCCACAGTGGGATGATTCATCTCCATAACGAGGCCATTGTGCAATACCTGAAAATAGAAAACCAGAAAAATAGCTCATAGAAACTCTCTTCAATCTCAAGGTATGTGGACAGTCAACATTACTTAGTCAACCACTTAGTCAATGTTGAAGAAGATATTTCAAAACAGAGATTTTTTTTAACTTCCATTTGAAAATAAATATTTGAAGTAAGTGTTTCTTATTGTCATATACTCCAATTGAAGCCAAAAAAAATGGCTAAGAGACTCAAACTGGAAAAACGCATTTGTACAAAATCTCCCCATATTTAAAAACATTAATTTATTTTAAATATAGTTGATCATCTCCCTACTTTCATCTAAGTCTTCTACTCCAATGTCAAAGGTCACCTTATTTTTTGCAGGAAATACTGGCAGAACCCGACCAAACACAATTGCAGCAGGGAAGAGGAGTAGGGAAGCTAGGATCTGGACCAGAGGAGCCAATGGAGGATATACATATACTCTTGTCAATCTATTCAATGGAATTTAAGAGATCATTCCAATGTGAAGGGTGAATCAGAGTGTCCAAGGGGCAAGTCCCAGCTAGAGATGAAGGATATAAGAATGAAAGACAAGCATATAAGCAGGGCCAATTGAGAGAGCCAAGGCGGAGGCCTAGGTTAGGGACTTAAGCAGGGAGGTTAACTCAATGATATCTTCAATAGCTATAAGACTTTACAAGTTTTTAAGAATAATACTCTGATGAGGGAACACAGAAAGAGCCAAAAAACCTCATGCTAGAGGGCTGAGTAGGTTCTTCTGTGCTGTGACTGAGATCAGCTTTTCAGTGTTCCCTTAAGAACAAAAGTAATTATAGCTCAGGATAAGACCTAAGGTCAGTCACTATTCATTATCTCACCAGGCACATATACCTGCATGCTTTGTTATTTGACTAGGGAACCTGGAAATGGAGGCTAAAATGTTGTTGTTGTTGTTCAAGAATCTAAAGTCTGTTAGATATATTCAAATTGCTTTCCCTATTAATAGAGGATGCCATGATGGCTTGGGGCCAGACTCTGTAACATGAAAATTGAATTACTATAGATGAAAATTTTTTGATACAGAAACAAAATCCTACGAAGTTTTATTTTAAACAACTTGAGGATACCTGAGTATACATACTATCTCAAGCAATCCAACATGGATTGTTAGATCTTCAGCAAGTCAAATGTAAACTGTTTCTTCTTTACTGTCCACAGAGGGTGGGCCTCTCTTTCCATTCTGTACATAACAGAAGCATTCCAGTGGCACAGTCCACTTAAGGGACGTCAAGTTCATACCAGAACAACAATGATAATGGTTCTTCAGCACTTCAAGGTTCAGATTGGGTGAACCACATTGTTACCAACAATGCATTTATAGGGTAAAGGTGCATGGGAGAGAGGAGCCAATATAAACATATTCTTCCTTGAAAAAAAAAAAAACTCAGGAAAATGAGATAAGGGGTATCTATTTCCAATAAGCTTTTTGGTCATATGATGATAGACGTCATCAACAAGAAAACTTCATGGAGAACCTGTTAAGACTAGCTGTGCTTAAGTATTCTGGAATCCACTCGGGTCTTGTGAGGGATGGCCACTGTTTAGGAAAGCAACTCTCTAGCAAGCAAGCATTCAACCCCCCACACTCAGGGCAGCAGCACGCCATATGGAGAGCCTTGACAGCGATGCCTTGCTTTTCTTTTGGCATCGTCAGGTTTGTACACAAGCGCTGGCCAGAGAAAACCCTTGCCAGTGTTAGAGCTGTGCTATAATTTAATTCTGGTGTGGCTCATTCTCAGCATCCACCCAGCACAGCCTCCTTCTCTGTGGGGGTGGGGGCTAAATGCCAGCCGGAGGTGCTAAATCTCAGTTCTGCTGAGGACAGGCACAAAAATACCAAGCTAAATTTCACTTGAAACAATTATCCGCACACTGAATCATTCTTCTCTTCTCGTATCTCTGTTGCCCTCCTGACTACCTCTTTGTAATAGCACTGCAGTGCTACTCACAAAAGACAAAAGTGAGTGTTCTTAGCTAAATATAACTGAACTGATAGCATTGAAATTAATTAACGCTGAATTTGAATCATGTAGCAAATGTTAAGTGTCAAACGTGAAAGGGTAGTTGGTAAAGGTCAAGGGACATATGTCAAAGTTTTGTGAAGCGAAAGCTAGCGACAGTTGATTGAAATTTCTTGCAGAAGCAACATTAGGGGTCACACTTCCTTCACCTCTAACTTGATTGCTGTCTGCATGCGCTATCTCCTGCTTGAGACTTTTACCTGATCAATACTTAGCTTTAAGCAAAAACACAAATTTGTTTAATGTTTGGCACAGGGAGCTAACTGCCATTTTTCATTGTCATTTGCTATGATGTTTGTACAATGAAGCAAATGGGCTGGACTGAGCTCCCATCTGTAGATAGGGCTGACTCTATTCCCTCGCTTGGTAGACACTCCCCTTTTGTGTATGGTGTGGAGCTGAGAAGATTCCATAGGCTTTTCTCACGGCTCAGGTCTCATCACCCCAGAGGTAGTACTGTCCCTGGAAAACTGCCCAGTGACCTGGAATCTTGGGTCATTCTCCAGCCTTCTTTGTGGACCTTTGCCCAGTATCATTTTCAAATATTTCAGAAGCCAGAAGACTGTATCTTGACATAAATCTCACCTACTCACTTCTGTGTCTTGTCTCATCAAAGCTTCACTAAAAACTGAGGCATGCCCCCTGCCATCTCTTATCAAACATTTCTTTGCAAAGGGTTAGTAGGCGCCCCCTTCCTTTTCTCATCTAGCCAAGACTTCAGTGTCTAGAATTTTAATACAAACATTTAAATAAAAATGTTCTTTTTTTTTGGCTACTAAAAATGGACCGGAGAATCTTCAGGAACTTTAATAGAGATTTTTAAAACGTATGTGTATATTGTGGCACAGGAGCACATGAGTGCTGGTGCCTATGAAGACCAGAGGAAATAGAATCAGATTTCTTGAGGCTGGAGTAACAAGCAGAAATAAGCAGCCTGATGGGGGTGTTGGGAACCAGCCTGAGTCCTGTGAAAGAGCAGTGCACCTTTAACCTGTCTTCTTGCCAGGCCCAGTTCAGGGACTTTAAACTATAACTTTTCTTCACGTGGATTTCATGACTTTATGACCATTCAGGTCCATCTTATTGCAAATGAAATTATTTCAAAATAAAGACAAAACCTTCCCTGGAACTCTTATCTGAGTTTTGTCCATTGGCAGTGTGTTTGGATTTGACTGTTTTCTCCCATATTTTACTTACTTTATTCTTCCTAGACCTTTCATTGTTTGGTAGCTCCCCTAAATTTCATTTCTTCTTGATGTTTCAAAAGCCTATTCTTGCCAAGAATAGAATTTTAGATAGTGCACTAACCTTTTTAGCAAAGTATCAGGCCTACTTAAAATAAGGACTCTCTTTCTTTCTCAAGGGTTTTATAGAGTGACAGCCTAATGATAGTCAAATGATAATGTATTAATGATGGGGTGATAAATGTATACCTTAGAGTGATGTGAGAAATACATGTTTAAAGAAAAGTAAGTCTTTTTATACAGTCCTATGGAAGAAGAAGAAAAAGGCTGTAATGTAGCACTAGCCAAACAAACAAAAAGCATAACAATTAAAAATTGATACCCTTGTTATTATGGCCACAGGTCTGAATCCAAGTTGCTTGGGTTATTGAGGCAGGAGAATTCCAAATTCAAATCCTGTCTGTGCTATAGCCTGAGTTCAAGGTCAGCCTGGACAAGTTAGCAAGACCCTGTCTAAAAATTGAAAAGGGAGGGAAGGGACTTGGGATACAGTTAAGTGATAATGTGCTGCATGCAAGACTCTGGGTTAAATCTCCATACCAACACACACACACACACACACACACACACACACACACACACACACACACACACACACACACACACTGATACCCTCTATCCAGTGCAAAACTTTTATGGAAAGCAAGAAAACCAGCTTCAGGCTACATTTTCTTTACATGTATCAAAACTGAGGTAATACCAGCAATGATATTAGTGAGGATGCCCAGAAGAAGATGAAATCTATCCAATTTACTGTGAATTCTCATTTGACAAATTCACTTAATTCAACCAATTCCACACAATTCTTATGTGTTAGGCACAAAGAAGGGGCAGGCAGTAATGATGAATGAATTTGCACCAAAATTGTCTATAATTTGAGAAGGGATAGAGAACAAGAGACTTAAGCCAATCTAGAACATAACAGATGCTCCACAAGGAAGGAGCAATATCCAATGAGAAGTAAATATTTAACTCTTTTTTAGAACAAAGTGACTCAGGTCAAAGAGGTCAGTGAAGGGCATTCATTCAACAAAGGTAACACTGAAATTAAATATTAAAGCTAATAACAACTAATAAGTGCAATATTATCACCTGTAGCAAAACTCATTAAAGCTCACTCATTACATTAAGAAGAAAACAGGTATTTCATTAAATCTTCTGGTAAGACCAGACCAGAAGTAGTATCTTCTGTCCAGTGATAAGATAAGGGAGGCTTAAAGAAGTTGAGTACTGGCCCAAGATTTTACAAGTGACAGGTGGCTGACCTTGGACTGTACTTAAGTATGTCTAACCCTAGTCACATAGGAGGCTCCTGGTAGTTGGACAGTTAGTCAAAGAAAAAAAATGGAGAAACATAATTTGATTTGTCATTAAAATAACTATCCAATGTGGTCAATTCTGCAAAATGAGTCAGTTGAGAGAAGCAATGAAGCTAAAGAGATTTCATGGCACCAGGAGGCACACATAATTAATAAATTAATGGCCCCCTCAGAGGAAGCCAAGAATACTCTGGCACAACATCTTGAAAGCTGTGCATAGGGAAGGAATTGCACCCAGACTAGCTCAGAATGTGAGGGGCACAGATCCAGCCAGTGATCTGGGGTGGAGCACTGCAGAACTCTGAGGCTCAGAATCCTCACTAGTATAAAAGAATAGTAATTTCTCTGTGGCATTTGTAGGGATCACATGAGCTGATAGTCATG